TGAGATGTCGCAGACCTGCTGCAGCACCTCTAACTCAATCTTACAGCACTGCTAGTACAGGTGTAAAATGGCCTTCTCTGTGTAAAGGCAAATGTAGTCCCTGTTAACAAAAAGAAGAGCAGAGCAGAAATCAGCAACAACAGACCAGTGTCACTCCTGTCAAACACTGCCAAGCTCCTTGAGACAATAATCTCAAGACAAGTGACAGTTTTTTGACTACCACTCACTACTTTGTGACTGTCAATATGGCTTCAGGAAGGGTTACTCTGCTGCTGATCTGTTGTTAAACCTCTCTACTAAGTGGCACCAGTCACTGGATGAATCCAACGTCAGCTGTGTGGTAGCACTGGATATTGCTGGTGCTTTCGACCGGGTGTGGCACCAGGGCCTCTTAGCAAGACTGCAGGCTCTATGCTATGTCTCCTCAGTGATTACCTTCATGGTAGATCTCTAAGGGTAGTTCTCAATGGAACAGAATCAGCAAGACATCCTATTCGGGCAAGTGTTCCACAAGGAATCGTTCTGGGACCATTGTTATGGAATGTCTACTTCAATGACCTTAATCTCATCCCAGAATCACATGCATATGCAGATGACTGTACACTGACATTCACTTATCCAAGAGAAGAAATGCCAGCTGCTCTAAGCTACATCAATCACCAGCTAAGAGCTATATTACCTTGGGGAAATAGATGGCAAGTAACATTTGCACCTGAAAAACACAAATGATGATCTCTAGGCACCATGATGGTAATGCCAGTGCAGTATTAAGGATAAATGGGAGGGTATCGGCACCTGGGGAAGAAGTTGATATCCTTGGGGTCAAATTTGACTCCAAACTGACCATGAAAAACCACGTAAATCTTGCAAACAAGGCAGCCAGAAAGCTTACAGCACTTCGCTGTATCTCACATCTGCTTGACAGCAGGGGTTGCAAGATTTTGTACGAGGCACAAGTACGCTCACACCTTGAGTATGCTCCACTTTCTTAGTTCACCTGCCCCCCCCCCATCTCATCTGCAACTGCTTGACAGTAAAGAACAGCAAGATGTCTCGTCTCTCGCCTGGACCAATCCTTTATAGTTCTGTCATTTCAGTAGAGCCTTCAACACAGGAGGGATGTGGGTGACCTTACTGTTATGTACAAGGCCAATATTGTCAAAGTACCACACTTGGATCCACTTCAAGGACAGCGTGAAGCAAGCTTCTATACCACAAGACGGGCAGAAAGCAGCAACTTCACTCTGGGTGTACCCTTCTCCAGAACATCACTTCATCTGAGATCATTTATCCCCAGGATGACGCGAGCATGGAACACACTTGTACAGCATTCTGATAGCAACGAGATAAAGTCAGTTGATCAGATGAAAATGCTGGCCCACAGATGGCTCCAACTTCATCCTGTTCCCTACTTGTATATTTCATAACAATAAAAATGCTTTCAAATGAGCTGATGTAGGCAACAGCTCTTAGCTTATCAATAAAGTTAGGAATCCTTAACCTGTAAATAGCTTGTCAAAGCTAGGGATCCTTAACCTAACCTTGTCAAACCCTGTGTTAAAAAAAAAAAAGAGAGAAAGAGAGAAAGAGAAAGAAAAAGATAAAAGAGAAAGATAAAGAAAAAGATAAAAGAGAAAGATAAAGAGAGGAAGATAAACAAAGAAAGATAAAGAAAGAGAAAGATAAAGAAAAAGAAAGAGAAAGATAAAGAATGATAAAGAAAAAGAAAAAGGGAAAGATAGAGAAAAAGAGAAAGATAAAGAAAGAAAGATAAAGAAAGAGAAAGATAAAGAGAAAGATAGAGAGAGAGAGAGAGAGAGAGAGAGAGAGAGAGAGAGAGAATGTCAGACAAGCACCCTGTGGGAAGAGTGGCATCCCTCTCAGAAAAGAATTCCCACTATTCCTGCTGGCACAAACTGCTCAAGCTCTGCCATCACATTAGTGACTCAGTGCATTTACTAAAACCATCAAAACAAATTAAGTAAGGCCAACCAATCCCTTTAGTCACTTTAACTTCTGAAAGAAAAATTATGAAATCTCTGCCTTCAAACTAACTTAGCCATTTTGCTCATGATGTCCATTGTTATTAATGCTCATAATTTTGAAGGTACCTAAGATATAAACTTGGTTAATAATCATCCAAATTCGAAATCTCATGCAAGACACACACAAATACGTAAAAAACAATATTCCCCCAGAAACTGTTTTGTAAAGAAAATGATCAAAACAGTAATTTTTTTCTACATTTGCTTCAAATGAAAAAAAATAGCACTGCCATATGTGAATGAATGTGTACTTTTCATGCTTTCAAATTTGCCATGCACTGCTATTTCAGGACTATTCGGCTGTTTGTTGCAAAGCGCCTCATACCTGGAAAAAAAAATCTTGGTCCATGTAGGTCATCCCCAGTCTATCATGAGTAAGGGGGATTACCAATAGACTCCTAGCTGTCTTGAAGAGGGAGCTATACAGATACCTAAAGTCAGTACCTGACCAACTGGGCTATGGTTCATACACTGGATTGCATGTGGCTGACAATAACAGCCTGGCTGATCAGGCCCTGATCCACCGCAAGGCCTGGTCATGGCCATACCAAGTTGCAGGGGCACTGACCTCCTAAACACCCTACAAGCAGGGTATTTGAAATTTTGGGAATATATTCATCGCATGCCCTATGTCCCCTTCGTATATATGGAGAGAGATCACCACACAGGCAAGATGGAGAGAAAACATCACATAGGCAAGATGGAGAGAAAACATCACATAGGCAAGATGGAGAGAAAACATCACATAGGCAAGATGGAGAGAAAACATCACGCAGGCAAGATGGAGAGAAAACATCACGCAGGCAAGATGGAGAGAAAACATCACGCAGGCAAGATGGAGAGAAAACATCACGCAGGCAAGATGGAGAGAAAACATCACGCAGACAAGATGGAGAGAAAACATCACGCAGGCAAGATGGAGAGAAAACATCACGCAGGCAAGATGGAGAGAAAACATCATGCAGGCAAGATGGAGAGAAAACATCATGCAGGCAAGATGGAGAGAAAACATCACATAGGCAAGATGGAGAGAAAACATCACGCAGGCAAGATGGAGAGAAAACATCATGCAGGCAAGATGGAGAGAAAACATCACGCAGGCAAGATGGAGAGAAAACATCACGCAGGCAAGATGGAGAGAAAAACATCACGCAGGCAAGATGGAGAGAAAAACATCACGAAGGCAAGATGGAGAGAAAACATCACTAGGCAAGATGGAGAGAAAACATCACGCAGGCAAGATGGAGAGAAAACATCATGCAGGCAAGATGGAGAGAAAAACATCACGCAGGCAAGATGGAGGAGAAAACATCACGCAGGCAAGATGGAGAGAAAACATCACGCAGGCAAGATGGAGAGAAAAACATCACGCAGGCAAGATGGAGAGAAAACATCACGCAGGCAAGATGGAGAGAAACATCACGCAGGCAAGATGGAGAGAAAACATCACGCAGGCAAGATGGAGAGAAAACATCACGCAGGCAAGATGGAGAGAAAACATCACGCAGCAAGATGGAGAGAAAACATCACGCAGGCAAGATGGAGAGAAAACATCATGCAGGCAAGATGGAGAGAAAACATCACGCAGGCAAGATGGAGAGAAAACATCACGCAGGCAAGATGGAGAGAAAACATCATGCAGGCAAGATGGAGAGAAAACATCACGCAGGCAAGATGGAGAGAAAACAATCATGCAGGCAAGATGGAGAGAAAACATCACGCAGGCAAGATGGAGAGAAAACATCACGCAGGCAAGATGGAGAGAAAACATCACGCAGGCAAGATGGAGAGAAAACATCACGCAGGCAAGATGGAGAGAAAACATCACGCAGGCAAGATGGAGAGAAAACATCACGCAGGCAAGATGGAGAGAAAACATCACGCAGGCAAGATGGAGAGAAAACATCACGCAGGCAAGATGGAGAGAAAACATCACGCAGGCAAGATGGAGAGAAAACATCACGCAGGCAAGATGGAGAGAAAAACATCACGCAGGCAAGATGGAGAGAAAACATCACGCAGGCAAGATGGAGAGAAACATCACGCAGGCAAGATGGAGAGAAAACATCATGCAGGCAAGATGGAGAGAAAAACATCATGCAGGCAAGATGGAGAGAAAACATCATGCAGGCAAGATGGAGAGAAAACATCATGCAGGCAAGATGGAGAAAACATCATGCAGGCAAGATGGAGAAAACATCATGCAGGCAAGATGGAGAGAAAACATCATGCAGGCAAGATGGAGAGAAAACATCATGCAGGCAAGATGGAGAGAAAACATCATGCAGGCAAGATGGAGAGAAAACATCATGCAGGCAAGATGGAGAGAAAAACATCATGCAGGCAAGATGGAGAGAAAAACATCATGCAGGCAAGATGGAGAGAAAACATCATGCAGGCAAGATGGAGAAAACATCATGCAGGCAAGATGGAGAGAAAACATCATGCAGGCAAGATGGAGAGAAAACATCATGCAGGCAAGATGGAGAGAAAACATCATGCAGGCAAGATGGAGAGAAAACATCATGCAGGCAAGATGGAGAGAAAACATCATGCAGGCAAGATGGAGAGAAAACATCATGCAGGCAAGATGGAGAGAAAACATCATGCAGGCAAGATGGAGAGAAAACATCATGCAGGCAAGATGGAGAGAAAACATCATGCAGGCAAGATGGAGAGAAAACATCATGCAGGCAAGATGGAGAAAACATCATGCAGGCAAGATGGAGAGAAAACATCATGCAGGCAAGATGGAGAGAAAACATCATGCAGGCAAGATGGAGAGAAAACATCATGCAGGCAAGATGGAGAGAAAACATCATGCAGGCAAGATGGAGAAAACATCATGCAGGAAAGATGGAGAAAACATCATGCAGGAAAGATGGAGAAAACATCATGCAGGCAAGATAAAGAAAAAGAATAAATATAATTAATGTCTGTAAATAAAAGCTTTACCTCCAATAGACCAATAGCAATTGAGAGAGCAGCTCCTGAGGCTCGTAGAGGACGTTTGCCTGTCATAACTGGCCAGGGGTCACGACGCAGATCTGCCAGAATATCCTGTAACATTATCTCACACTCTTGAACAGGCTGTAGGAATCTGTTGTTCATTTGACCTGGTTGTGGTGCAGGTGCAGCCTGACCTGGCATCTGCAATATCCACAAAGATTTCTTATAATGATTTATCTCTACACAAATATGTTACAGGACACAAATCAAGTGTAATGAAGGAAAAAATATGTAATGGGCAGGAGAAAGTATAGAAAAGTTTAGATTAACCCTTTGACTGTTTCAGTCGTATATATACGTCTTACGAGGTACAGTGTTTGACGTATACATACTCAAATTCTAGCGGCTTCAAATCAAGCAGGAGAAAGCTGGTAGGCCCACATGTGAGAGAATGGGTCAGTGTGGTCAGTGTGCACCATATAAAACAAATCCTGGAGCACGCAGTGCATAACGAGAAAAAAAAACGACAGTTTTTTTAATTAAAATGCCGACTTTGTGGTCTATTTTCGTATAGTATTTATGGTTGTATTCTCGTTTTCTTGATCTCATTTGATAGAATGGAAAACATATTATAGAAATAGAGGTGATTTTGATTGGTATTACTATGAAAATAACCTTGAAAAGGAACTCAAAGTAGGAGAAATGTTTGATTTTTGCGGATGTTCAAAAGTAAACAAATGATGTCATTGTCCAATAAATGTCCAACTAGCCATTCTAATATGCAGTAATGAATGGGTTGACATTATCTGTACAATTATTACAGCATTGCAGTAGTCTACATAACAGTAAATCTTTTATGTTTTGTTTGAATAAAAATTCAAAATAGAAAAAGCAA